CCTCTTAGCTGAGATCACACCTACCATGCCATTCTTTAACTAATCTCATCCTTCTTGCTGTACTGATTGTCCGTGTCACCCTATACTTTGCTGCTATCAGGAGCCTTGAGATCTACCTCTTTTCCATTGCCTAGAAAGTCACTTGTGAAAATGGTTCTGTTTTAATTTGTTCTTATCTCATTTTGCACAAGCCTTCATGCCTTTACTACTTCTGTCCAAAAAGGTGATATAAAATCTAGCATACTGTTGAACCTGACAGTGGCCTGACCATTGCTCAGATTATTCTTTGCTCTCCCTTAAACACATCCTTTGTTATTCCTTATGTCCATGACACCACAGATGGTAGCATTGAGCCAGATTCCCCAGAAGAAACTGTCTGAGAGAATGGCCTCTTCCTTGGCTCTAGGAGGGAATGGGAGCCTCATGGTTGCAAGCAGTAGGACCATGTCTTCCATGGCAGAGAGAAGCCCAGACTTGTGCCATTTAGTCTTCCTCCCATGCCTAATGTTGCCTCTTTCTTCTCTTTCAGGTATGGAGTCCTACCTTCCCAGCACTGGAAGGGATGTTTGCAGTCACTCAGCCATGGAAGACGATGGAAGAAAACCAGAAAGAGAAGATCCAGCAAACTGAGTGTTGATGGGAGCAGGGACACTGGGGCTCGTCTGCATGGAAGGATGAAACTCTGTGTGCCACGCTTCAGAGAGATAGGCTCTACATGGACCTCTCAGGATGGTCTAGGGGTGGCACAAACACTGCAGGAGGTCATGGGAGCTCTGTACCTTCAGAGGGGTTGGAAGCTGCATACCAGGGCAAGGCAAGACTCACTGTTGCAGTAAGGTGGCTGGCAGCACAGATGCTTTGGAGACATTGGGACTGTTTGAGCCAGTAGCTATTGCCTGCTTCAGTGCCAGGTCTCTGCCCCACTCTTTGCCTCTCCTTTGTGGCTTCTCTCACAGCCTTTTTCTGGTGGAACACTTGGATGCAGGATGGCATGCAGATGATGGTGTTTTCTCCCCACTGCCTGCTTTCTCCTCCCTCTCCCTGCACTGCCCTGCCCTTGGGGCAGGGGCCCCCTCAGTGGGCTGCACATGTTGCACATTTTGAGCATTTAATCTTATTAGACTCTCATTTTAGAACCTAAAATAAATCTGTGTGACAAAAAAACCTGCTGGCCCCTGTGTGTGCTTGTGGAGGATCATGCCTATTGATGGTGCCGGGTGTACCTCTGCCTGTGTGAAGCCATTTCTAAGGCCTTTGTTGCCTTCTCTTTCTCTTTCAGTTCTGTTTTACTGAAGTGGCCTGCTCATTTCTGACATTTTCACAGTGGGGAAGGGGAAATTAAATGCCACTAGAGAAGGGCGAATCACAGGTTCAATCTCTCCTTTTTGCTGTGTTTCATAGTCTTTTTTCTTTGCTTTTTTTTTACTCCTGTCTAGCTGTCCCTGTTCATTCATTAATTTATTCCTTTAGTCCTCACATTTTCCTGAAAGATCTACAAGTGATGTTAGGGCTTTCTGTCACTCTCCTCCTCCTGTGGATGTACTTAGTAATATAAGCATGAATCTGCCAGGTCTCACCTCTCAAGACCCTCGATGTGTTTATGTTTCATATAGTCAGAGAATGCTCTTCACCTTCTCTCCAAAGAGCCGTGGAGGACTGTGGTACTGCTCTTGGACAGCCATTGCATGCCACTGCAGAAGAAAGCCTCACTAGTAAAGAGAGCCACACATGTGGTTTCCCCCATATGGGTCCCCGGACTGTGACTTCTCAAGGAGGCAATGATACAAAAATTAAGCTCTCAACGTTTAGGATGGAATATTCTCTTGACTCAAGTAGAGAGCATCACTACCAGGCCAGCTTTTTGCCATGAAGAAATCTTCTTGCTATGTGGCTCTCACCTTCCCTCCCCAAGAGGTTCAAGCACACAGGTAGTGAATGCACTCTAGGATCTTCACACTTCAGGTAGTGGAGCAGCACACAAAAGGTCATAACTAGCCTACTCTGGGGACCATGTCTAGACTCCACAGCTCTTTAGCTACTCATCTGGCCATGTGTTTTACTGAAAATGACACCCATTTCTCCACTGATTCCTAGAGAAATGCAGCAGACCTGCAAGGTAGCCTTGTTTGCTTCAACCATCCCATGCAATTTCAGGCAGACCCTGAAACAGAACCAGCAAAATGCAGGACACTCCAGCCTGATACCTTCCTAGTCAATGATCATGCTGCATTTTATTCAGGTTGGAATGATCTGTCTAGCTCAGTCCTCTCTCTCTGTCAGATGTTTTTGAGATAGGGAAAAGGTGGGTTAGCCACAGTGGGGCTAAGGGGCAATCCAAAATTCATCAGGACCACACCATATTCTCTGTGCCTGACAGCAGTTTGCTCTCTCATCTCATGTACAATGGGATGCGCCCTCCTCCTGTGGGTAATACATTGCCTGTTACCAGACTGGATGTCCTCATTGCTCAGATGTGTGCTCAGTCTGTCTTTAAACCTCCCTGTTTCCTTGTACTTTCTGACTTCCTCTGGCAATCAGTCCTCAGATCCGCTTATTCACTGTGTGGAAATGGTTCCTCTATCAGTTTTGAATTCAAAGCTTTCTACTTTCATCATCTGTTTTCTTTTCTCTTGTCACAAAGGCTGGAAGAAGAGGGACTCCCAAATCTATAGTCTCTTGGACAGTCATTATTTTACCACCTTTTTCACATCCCTTTTTTGTTATTTCCCTATCCCCTCCTGACTCATTGCCTTTCAGGTACAAATCCCAGATTTTGAGACTTTCTCCCTGAGTTTGTGCAGGCCCATCTCTATGCATGGTCAACTCTCCTCGGGTCCTTTGCTCTGGAAGTGAAAGCAGCAGCCAGGCAGGGAAGCAGTGCTTGTTTACATGAAGACACAGTGCCTTTCTCTGCATTACTTCCATCCAGCCCTTCATGGCTCTCGACATTTTGTTTGCTCCTTTGACAGATATTCCCCACTGAGAAACACTGAGCTTGTACCCAGCTGTTCACTGTGTCTGTCACTATGGCCAGGGCTCTTGCCTGACCTGGTACAGTTACAGTGAGTGAAAGCCTAGAAGTATTTATGCAGTTTACATTTTCCCTCCTAGAAAGGATGAAAATATGTCTAAAACAAGATGGCACAAGGCAAGTCAGTAGAGCTGAGGTGGAAGGACCATGACTCTGTACAATAAAGCAAACAAATCTGGAAATCTGTCTCAAGTGGAGTCAATAAGTATGAACAGCAAATAAAGTAAATGTCATGAAGGAAAGAGGCCTGATGCTCTTCCACAAGGATACAGCTACATATGCAAAAATCAGATAAATATTTTCAGCATACCAGAATGTGGTGGTTTGACCTGGCTGGATGCGAGGTGCCCACCAAACCCACTCTATCACTCCCCTCCTCAGCTGGACAGGAGAGAGAAAATACAACAAAAGACTTGTGGGTTGGGATAAGGACAGGGAGAGATCACTCACCAATTGCCATCACGTGCAAAGCAGACCTGACTTGGGGAAACTAACTGAATTTATTACCAATCAAATCAAAGTAGGATATTGAGAATATAAACCCAAATCTTAAAACACCTCACACCTACCACTCTATTCTTCCAAAGGCTTAACTTCACTCTACCTCCTTCCCCCAGCAGCACAGGAGGACAAAGAATAGGGATTGTTGTCAGTTCATTGCACATTCCTCCTCAGGGGAAGGACTCCTCACCCCTTCTCCAAAGTGGTGTTCCTCCCACAGGATACCATGCTCCATGAACTTCTCCTTCCCATGGGCTGCATTTCTTCACAAACTACTCATTCCAGTGTGGGTCCCTTTCCGTGGAGTGCAGTCCTTCAGGAACAGACTGCTCCAGCATGGGTCCCCCACAGGTGTCACCAGTCCCACCAGCAAACTTGCTCCAGCATGAACTCCTCTCACCATGGGGCCACTGGTCCTACCAGGAGTCTGCTCCAGTGTGGGCTTCCCACAGGATCACAGCCTCCTTTGGACATATCCCTCACCTGGTGTGAGCCTCCTCCATGGGCTGCAGGTGGATGTTTGCTCCTCCATGCACCTCCATGGGCTGCAGGGGCACAATCTACCTCACCATGGTCTTCACCAGGGGCTGCAGGGGAACTTCTGCTCCAGTGTGTGGAGCACCTCATGCCCATCCTTCCTCACTGATCCTGGTGTCTGCAAGGACTGTTTCTATCTCATATTCTCACTCTTCTCTCTGGCTGCAGTTGCTAATTTTTTTTCCACCCCGCTTAACAATATTGTCACAGAAGTGCTACCACTGTTGCTCTGAGCGCTGATGGGCTCAGCCTTGGACAGTGGTGGGTCCATCCTGGAGCTGCTTGCAATGGTTCTGTTGGACATGGGGGAAGTTTCTAGCAACTTCTCACAGAAGCCAACCCTGCAGCTCCCCCTGCTACGTAAACCTTGCTGTGCAAACCCAATACTCAGAGGCTGAAAACTTTAAAAAAACCACAGGAAATCCAGTGGATTCCCTTTTGGCAGAGAGGAAGGCTTAAGGAATGCAAAGAAAGTGTTATGCATGCAAATTCCTTTGCATATGACAGCTCCAAAAGGAATAGGAAGACAGTCTTTAATCCCAAATTAATCTTGTTGGTTTTTTTTTGAAAGAAAGATCAGCACCATCAGAAAAAAAATCATAACTGGGTCCAGATGTTCTGCATCCAAGACTTCTGAGGGATTTACAGTGAGAGGCTAAGTAAGTGCTAGCAAATAGTGCAGTCTGACAAAGGAGCAACTAGAAACAACACATCTATTGTGGTCTTGGTGCATTCTGCAGAGTCTTTTAAAAACAATAAAATGTTAGAAACAGATCTTGAATTATGTAGGACACTAAGCTACACTGAGTTTTATACTTGCTTGGAAGACTTGAGGGGAAAATATCAGCACCAATCCTGCAAAAAGACCTCCAAGACACTTCCTTCAACACTTCGATGAATAAAACCAAAATATCTAGGTTCCTTCATTTTACCTTCTAAAGGTTCCCTCAAACCAAGCTTCTTAGGGGAGTGCAGGTACTGCATCTTGTACTACCCACTGAGATCCAAAGAATCTGGGACAGTCTTTTCATAGTTGTGGATTTCATCCTGCTCAAGACCTTCTCTCCTAGGTTTCCACCTGTATCAGCAGACTCCCTAACAAACTTTGGGAGCTGGCAGGAGCTCAGCTAGGACCCTCTGCTCAGGCATTCTCCAGCCCTCCAAAATCCTAAGTTAGGTATCAGGAGAATTTCGTTGCTGTGAGGGTGGTGAGATACTGGCACAGGTTGCCCGGAGAAGCTGTGGCTGTCCCATCCCTGGAAGTGTTCAGGGCCAGGTTGGATGAGGCTTTGAGCAACCTGGTCTAGTGGAAGGTGTCTCTGCCCACTGCGGGGGGGATGGAACTAGATATCTTTAAGGTCCTTCCAACCCAAATCGTTCTGTGATTCTATGAAATCTCGCGGCCAGCAGCGCTCTGAATGGCTCATGGGTGAGGACACGGTAGGGGCCAGAGGCTGCAGTGCTCTCCCTCCCGGCCCGAGGCTCCGCGGCCAGTCCCGAGTCAATGCTGCCATCTAGTGCCCTGGCGCCCGCGAATCCGCTCCCACCCGCGCTACCGGGACATCCTT